CCTTGTAAGAAATGTTTTTGTAACAGCTCAGGCTCACTACTAGTAGATATTGTCTTCTTTTGAGCTTTCCTTCTCAGGCCTCTCCTTAAGAATTTTAAAATGTGTCTGCCAGGGAGAGGTTTCCACTCGTTCTTCTCTCTAATCGATGTGGGATCTCACAATCTACTTCTATTTGGGGCCAGCGTCCTTGCTGACACTCGTTCCTCTCTAATCGGTGTCGTTCCTTTCTCCCATTGACGTGGAATCTAATAGCATAAGAGAGAGAGATTCAGTAGGATTGAAGCAAAAATGCCAAATTGGATCACATGGGTGCATGGTCAGAAGTGTATGGCTTGTTTGGTTGGAATCAAATGGCTGCCTGCCCACTCACTCTAAGTCAAATTTTACTCCAATTTGGATGTGAGTCAAACCCAAAACCCAATTGGCTCTTCTTTAAGATCCCATTTCTTACACAACACATATCTTATTGGTCAAATCTTGTCCAATTGTAGGGTCACCCACCCCTTCATCCAATGAACCTGTTTTGTCTACCAAATTGAAGTGACCAATCTCGAGCTCTAACCATGCTCCTCTTTCATCTAATGAGTTGAATTCGACCCAAAATCTAATTTTTCGAAATGGGTTCTGTAACATAACAAGATCACCGCTACCAGATATTATCTTATTTGAGCTTTTCCTTTTCAACTTTCTTTTCAGATTTTAAAATGTGTCTACTAGGAAGAGATTTCCACATTCTTATAAAAAAAAATGTTTGGAATCGATTCACACTTGTTCCCTTCTACAATCGATGTGGGATCTAACGTATTCTTTCTAAAACCCTTTATTTCACATGGGTTTGCTTTAATTTTTAAGTACAATGACTTTATTTATACATTTGCTCTTCTTAATTCATTGTATAAATAGTTAAAACTTCATCCATATTCATCTAATGTCCCTCCATTTAAGATGTTTTGAATGTCACAACTTGCAAAAATGTTATTAATACATGGGATTTGACACATTGAATGAATAGATAAAGTGTATATTATCGAATAAAAGTCGCTTAAAATCAATCATTAACATTTTACGATAGAAAAGAACAAAATGATGAATTTTTAAACAAAAACAAATCCAATCGAGTAGTTAGTTCACCGATCGACCAATCAAATTAAAAATAAGAAAAAAAAAAGGGGAAATCATATTAAATTGGAAAGATCTTCTTTAATCAAACTATATCTTTTAAGGAGGATTTTGTTCCAATGAAGAAATATATGTATTTTTCACAAATGGGACCCCCAACTATTGGGTGTGTTGAAGGAATCATGGGTGTGTCACCACCCAACCAAACATGGAATGACATTTTGGCTTGTGGTTGTAGAGGCAGCCCACCATGGCTAACCCACCATTGTTAAAGATCACATAATTCGGTTCGATTCGTACCGTTAGTGTTGGGAAGTGTTACAGTTCAAGCTCACCGCTAGTAAATATTGTTCACTTTGGTTCATTACGTAACATCGTCGTTTTAAAACGCGTATACTAGAGAGAGGTTTCCACACTCTTGTAAGAAATGTTTTGTTTCTTTCTTTCACCAATGTGGGATCTCATACGAAGAAAGAGGATTATATAATTAGGATTTGAAAAATAAGAAGTTCATATGATTGAGATTTGGAAGATAAAGGGTTCGCATAATTCAAGTCTAGAAGAAAAGAGGTTCGTACAATTAGGATTTAAAAGTGTTACAATCCAAACTCACCCCTAGTAGATATTGTCCGTTTTGGCTTGTTACGTATCATCGTCAACTTTATAATTTTAAAACGCGTTTAGTGCAGAGAGATTCACACTCTTATAAGAAATGTTTTGTTTCTCTCTTCAATCCGCGTGGAAGAAAGAGGACTATATAATTAGGGTTTGAAAAATAAGAAGTTCATATAATTAAGGTTCGGAAGAAACATAGATCATATAATTAAGATTTCGTAGACAAATGATATCGTCTTATTAACCCACACACCTACATATCTAAGGGCCAATCCAAAGCTTTTCCATGTGATCTCTGTCATGGAGTATCTATCTAAGATACCTCATTTACAATTTGATATCATTTTTAAAATGGTTGGTTTGATGCATAACTTCTTTTGAATTATTTAGGCTAACGTTCTTAAAATTCAATTAAAGATTTTTTTTCTTCGAATTATTTGAAATTTTAATATTTAAAGTTTACGGTTCATCTTTTTGGGAGCCAGTGTCCTCCCTGACACACCGACCGTTCAGTGTCTGATACCATTGGTAATAACTCAAGCCCCATGACACCGAAGGGATGTTTTGTTCTCTCTCTCCTATCAAGTAGATCTCACATGTTACTGAGTTTTTTTATTTATTTATTTTATTTTACCTTTCAAAATTAAGGATAGTAATGTAATTTTGAAAGTTTAAATATATTTTTGAAATATAATATTAACGTTGATTTTATTCCTATTATTTTCGAGCATATCCCTCCTCTAAAAATCATGTCTTTTAATAAATTAATATCACAAAATAATTGACCTTAACAAAAAAAAATCATATTCTTAATTTTAATAATACACATTACTCAAACTTTGGTCTCTTAAGCACATGATATAGTTTAATTAATAATAAAGTTATTTTATGAAATATATATTCCATGTCCCTAAGAATTAAATTAAATATACAAGTCAAACTCATTAAATATCCTAATTAATTCCCATAACACATGATATTAGCTCTAAACTTTCAAGTTGGAGATTTATCACCTGACATCAAATCTCATGTATGAACACTGCCTCTAATCTTTAGGGCATATATGATAATCAAATTCATACCTTGTCCAACAATTTTAGGACAATTTGTTATCGATGCTATGTGTCACAGTCATACTTGTTCAAAGAGTGTTGTTTATGACTGTATGTCGGATGTCTCGATCATGCTTGTCCACGACGTATTGTCCATGGTTGCATGTCTGTTCCAAACCCCTTTTACATGTTTTCATCTTAGACAGACCTCAATATATGACCGTTCACCAAAATCATGTTTACACACGTCAGGGCTAAAATGCCAAAAAAAAATGTACTATAAGGGATATGACTAGCTATCACTTTTTCCTAATTGGTTATATGCTATCAAAATCATTGTTGTTGCTTGCTCACTTTTAGCTTCTCTACTTTATTTCAAATTGTATTCAATGTGTTTTTTCGCCCACATTTTCTAAAACAACTCTCTCAAATGTGACTCGAGGCTTGAACATACGCCGACGTTGTCTGCAAAATCCAAATTTCCCACAATTGATTTGTTCGCTGGGCTAGAACAAATGTTGCATAATCGTTGCCCCACTGAGTGCGAGTACTAGTTCAACTAGCTAAGAGTAAATTCTCAAATGCCTCTATCGATATTGTAACCTTTTTCATGTAAAAAATCAGAAGCTGAAAAATTCGTTTTTTTTTATTTTTTTATTTTGTTCGTGTATAACAACCTTAATCGTACATATAAGAGCGGATTGCTGACTATGACTTCAAGAAGGGAATCTATGAAAGAAAGTTATTGAACGGGATCTAAACGACTTTATTTCATAAATAAAAATATAAAATAGCAAAATAGTTATTAAGATTTATTTAGCTTATAAGCAAAGTTTATTTATTTTTGGGTAAAAGCACCCTAAACCCGCATTAATTATAACAACTTGGGAATATAATATTAATTGTGGAGTATGCTATTAGTAGCTTAATAGAATCCAAATGATTTAATGTTAGGGGCATATAATAAGGAAAAAATGAAATAATAAATTCCAACCATACCATATGTTATATTTTTATTATATGGTTTGGAGTATTGTAGAGATGCGTGGAATATGATAATATGGGCAGCGCCAGCCAGCGGCTCCTGTCGCGCAAGTTGCTGGTGGAGAAACCGCCAAAACGGCGCCGCTGCGGTAGGGGGTCCAAAATTAATATATGATTTTGTTTGAAAATAGATATTTCTATAGTTCATCAATTGTCACATCCAAATATATCTCTTCGGTGGAACCAAAGTTCAAATAATATTTCGCTTTTTGTAATGTCATTTTCCAAATATTTTTCGTTTTCGCTTTTTTTTTTATTTAAAATTTTATTTTCGGACTCGAGAGATCAATCATTTTAGACTATGCAACCCAAATCATAAAAATTAGGTTAGATATACATTTTTTTTAATTGAATTGAATTTTTAGAAAATCGAAAATTTGGTCTCCAAGTTTGACATTTTATTTAGTCAACTCAACCAAATTGATAAAAAAAAAAAAAAAAAAAAATTACCGTCCACCTCTACCCTACCTTCCTTTTATGATTATTATGAAAATTAAGAATATTTGACATTTGCAACCGATGTTAATAACGCATTATGAGTTGTGTGAGATTTAGTTGGTAATGTAACGTGAACATGTAGAGTTTTTCTAAAAAAATGACAACGGGACAACCCAATTAAACTTTTTGTGTTGGTCCAAAATATTTACTTAGCCCGCTAATTTTCTACATGTAATTCAATTAATTAAGGATTATGTTGTTGCTATGGGTGCTACTGAACATCCAAACGACACTGTAAACGCTGCATTGTTCGTCAGCTCTATCAAAAGACCGCCGCAAAAACTCGTCGGAGGTAGTCTCCGGCGGGAAACCCGCAACCGGCTCCGGCTACAACATGCTTAGACGTGGGCTGAAGGTTGGAGGAGAAGCAGAGCAGTGGCAGAGTAAGTGAAGTGAAGAAAAAATAATTATTATTTTTATTAAAAAATTAATGGTAAAGAATAAATATCTTATTAATTTTTCATAAGAATAATTAAAACTCCAAAATAGATATTTAACAAGAAAATAATAATTTTTTTAAAAATATTTTTGTATATATTTTCTCAACCTATTTTTGTCTATAAAACTATTTAAGGAAAATAAAGTTCATATATTTCTTTCAATAATATTAACGATTTTTATAATAAGATTTTAATTATTGATTTACTTATTTTTATAAAAAAATAAAAAAAATAGATTTCTTAATTCTAAAATAGAAATTCAAATATTTCCGTTCCACCCTTCTTCTTCTTCAGGGGACGGGATTTGTGTTCCTCGCAGGACCTGTCGCTTCGTGTTCCAAATTCTCTCTGATTCTCATCTTCGTAATCGAACTGTTTCTCATCCTTTCACTTCGGGTACGTATCTCCATCGTTTCTAGTTGATTGAACAAGTTTCGATTGGCATCTGTATTTTTTTCACATTTGATTTCATCTTTATTTGTGGCTGTTCATTTGTTTTTGACCAACTTTGGATTAAAATTTCTCTGCGTAGTTGAATTTAGGGGATTGAATTGTAGTCTCCTCGGATCAGGAATAAACTTAAGATCCTTTTTCGTTTTGTGAACATTTTGCGGAAATTTGATGAATTTTCTCTATTTTGTATTCCCTTTCGGCTGGGAAGATGATCGGATGTCTAATTGACGAAGCCAACTCAATAAACACCACTTATTTTGTATTCTCCATCCTGCATTCCATCTTTTCATTCCAGCCAAAACAGAATGTTTATTTACTAGAACTGCGCCTGGTCTAACCTTTCTGTATTTTGCTATAGACGTTTGATTCCCGTCGCAAATTTCAAGTTCGTCCCTCTACTTAGTGTAGATAAATTAAGCAAGTGGATAATTCAATGCCATGCAAGAGATACTAAGGCCACAGAGGAATATGCTAAACTTCTCGTTTTTTTGAGAGAGAGATATGTTTTTCAGGTAGTATTTAAATACTAATTCATTCACTAATTTAGCTTTTCAAAAACCAAGTCAAGTTTTGGAAATTCAGAAACACTAGTTTTTGTCATTAAAATTTTGTTAAAAATTCAAATCTTATCTTGAAAATATGAAATCCATTATAGAGAGAATTAAAATACAAGCACAGTTTAAAAAAAAAAAAACAAGAACAAAAACCAGAAACCAAATGTTTATCAAACAGGCTTAATTTGCAAACTAACATAAAATCCTGTTTGTATGTGATGTTTGAAAAAAGAAGAACCTGATTGAATATTTACATCAGAATGCAAGGATGACCATATAAGGATTTTGCATCTTGTTTCTGATGGATGGTAATCATTGAATTTGGCTCAGTGTTAAACTTCTCGATGTTGTTCACTTTTGGTTTAAATCATTTGCCATTCTTGTCAGACAAGTTCTTACACAATGTACATTCAGTAGTAGTACCTTTTTGTTTCTTAAGATGAGCATAGGAAAAGGAAAACTACTGGCTTTATGTTTATTTCTCTTTCTCCAAAAATCTTGTTCACGAAATCAGTGTAATTTAATAACTAAAGATTAAAACCAGAGCTAACTATTCTGCCATAAAAATTGGTGAAATATGGTTTGTTTTCTTATTTGTTTCACCGTCAAAAAAAAAAAAAAAAAAAAAAAAAAAAAAAAAATTAGTATGGGGTTGTGCGTTCAGTTGTTGCTGCTCCATCTGCCTTGTTTAAATTTGATTTCTGTCTTGTTATTTCTTGAATTATTGTGAAGTAGCTTGAGATGATGATTTTATCTAATTCTTTTGTTATAATACTAGATTTTTGGGTTTCCTCGAATGGAATAATATTGTCAACTTCTATGTCATTGTAAATGGCCGTGTCTGTAGTAGTTGTGTAGGTTTGAAATATCCTTCCATGGTGTTAGTAGTTACTCACCATTTTTAATCTTTTGAAATTTAAGCCTCTTGTTGCCAGAACTTGTTGGTTTTCTTAATCTTTTAGTATTGGAACACAGTTGTTATTGGGAACTTGTGGGTATTTTGAAATGGATGAAATCTTACGATCTGGTATGCTGTGATTACAATTATCATCAAACAACTCAAAATTAGTTTGTCGTTTTTGCATTTTTATGAATAGTAGTTCTCACATAATGTTTGGATTCTTATTTTGAACTCTATATTAACTAGACTATTTTTGTACTCCCTGAAGTTCTAGTGAAGTTGTTATTTTACTGCATTTTTATATGATGCCTGCTCTTAAAAGTGGCTTACCTTTTACCTACTATATTTACTTGTTGGATCTTGTTCGCCTATATTTTGTAGGCAGTAAAATGTCTATCATGTTAAAGAAGGCAGAGGAACATTATCTGCTGGTAGCGCATATATAATGGTGGAATGGAAAGGAAAAGGATAGATGACTTAGAACCAGGTCCACTTCCTTCGCCCAAACAAGTAGACAGATTTGGATTCTTAAAGCAGGAACATAATAGTTCTCCAGATGTTACAACCAAGAACCGGTCCACCAATGTTAATGAGAGGTATGCTTTTATTCATAGCTCAATAATTTCTTTGACATTCTGCTTTTCTTTATCAAGGATTGTGCTGATTATGCGTTATGGATATCCTACAATTTCAGGGAGGAAAGGAGAGTTAGAAAATGGAGGAAGATGATTGGAGTTGGAGGGAGTGACTGGAAGCATTACGTTAGGAGAAAACCTAACGTTGTTAAAAGGCGTATAAGGAAAGGTATTCCTGATTGTTTAAGAGGTCTTGTTTGGCAGTTGATTTCTGGAAGTCGAGACTTATTGTTGATGAATCCTGGAGTTTATGAGGTATTGAGACTTTGGAATTTGGTTGAGGTTATGGTCTTAAAATGAGTTTTTCCAAATATTTTTGTTGTAAACTTCCTAATAATCTAAAAAGTAGTTGGTTTCTGTATCCTAAATAGTTTTTGAAGTGTCAAGTTTTAAAAGTATACATGGCTCTTTTAAAAGCTTTAGATATTTAATGTACCGGGGTTATAATTTTTCATTCTTATTAATGAATGTGTTTTCTTGTAAAATTTGACTGGCATCTCAAATGAAAAAAGGAAGCAAATGTATGATCGACATTGATCACGAAATATGTGTGGGACTTAACCACTTCATGTTTCATTTTGTGAGGTGTCGTATGATATGATTAGTCTGACTGACTATAGATGCTACTATATATTGATTGATTAGTCTGACTGACTATAGATGCTACTATATATTGATTGATTAGTCTGACTGACTATAGATGCTACTATATATTGATTGATTAGTCTGACTGACTATAGATGCTACTATATATTGATTGACATGTATCGCAGCTACTACTGGGTGTGATGTGTAGTGAGAATGCAATGGTAACCTTTTATTTGCGTTAGTCATCAGTAAAGTAGAAACCTTTAGGCTTATCTTATACAACAAGGTCAATAGATTATTATTTTTGTGGCCTTCTTTAGTAGTTTTATAAATACATAGTTCTAAGGATTATGGTATTAAATGGCATATTTTTTCCGCAATCGGTTCCTTGGAATTGTATATACATTTAGATATTTCTCATACTTCCCTCACATGTTTTTCTTTCAGTTCATGAAAATGTTACTTTATGCCATTTTTCAGACTCTTATAAATCAAGTCCCAAGGATGATGGTAATCAAGTAGTAATGTTTTTGTTTACAGCAATTGGTAATATATGAGACATCAGCCTCTGAATTGGATATCATTCGAGATATCTCCCGTACCTTTCCTTCCCATGTCTTCTTCCAACAGAGACATGGGCCCGGTCAAAGATCTCTCTACAATGTTTTAAAGGCGTATTCAGTTTTTGATCGGAATGTTGGATATGTTCAGGTTCTGGATCTTCTATATTTTATCATTGGTCATGTTTAAACAACTGTATTGGGTGAACGGTATGCAATGTTTTTGAGCTTGTAGGGGATGGGATTTTTAGCTGGTTTGTTGCTTCTCTATATGAGTGAAGAGGATGCGTTCTGGTTGTTGGTCGCATTACTTAAAGGTGCAGTTCATGCTCCTATGGAAGGATTATATCTGGTAACTCTATTCTTCGAGATCTCTCCTTTATTTTGAGTTCAACTTTATAATAGTTAGTAGTCCTGAAATTTTGAGAATCAGGACAAATGAATGGACATCATCTCCCTTCTGGTGCTTTGTTCCTGGGTTAAATATTGGCTGAAACTTGTTCGGTAGGTTCATATTCTGATATGTCTGCCACATTGCATGTAGGTGAAATGTTAAACTCTTTGAACAAGCAAACAACATAAGCTTCAGGGCCAATTTTTTGTAGGCGAAATGTTTAACTCTTTGAATAAGCCCACACCATATGCTCCAATGCCAATTTTTTCTAGTACCCTGCACAGTCCTACCTAAACCAGGAAATTCGAAAGAGATGTTCAGTGTCAGCTGCTTCTTCACAAGTAATTCACACTTTTGTTTTTCTCTTACTGGTGTTATCCGCTTAAGAGCAAGATATCAACAAAGAATTGAGTTTTTCCCTTGGACTTTCACTTGATCAAGTTAATGAACTATCTAGAATTTAGGTACTCTATTCTAGCACTAACTTTAAGAACGATTTGCTAGTGAATATAATTAATCGATCCAACTTCCCTCAATTCTGACCTCGACTATGTCTAAATTTACTCAAAAAGTTCCTGGAGATTGCCCCAATCTGCTACCTTTCTATCGTTGAATAACCAGATTACAACTCTTCGTGACAGATTTTTGTTCTAAATTTTATTTTGCTTCTGATATGCTTTTCATTTGTTTTTATTCATCCAACGATGGTTTCTGAAGGACCAGGTGCTTATGACTAATGAATGGTTATAGACTTGCATAAACTACTTTAGAGTAGTCTGCTAAATGTACGTTGGTGCATAATTTACAAATTGGTCTGAAGTCTTGCCGTCAATTACGTTTGTATGTGTTGTATCAGATGTTAAGTACTTCGATTGAACTATGTTGAGTTTCATTTGAAGAACTTTTTTTTTTTTTTTTTTTTTGATAGGCGGGGCTTCCTCTAGTGCAGCAGTACCTATTTCAATTTGATAACCTTGTGAGAGAGCAGCTGCCTAAGCTTGGTGAGCATTTTACTCGAGAGATGATAAATCCTAGCATGTACGCTAGCCAATGGTTTATTACCGTTTTCTCTTACTCCGTCCCCTTCCATTTGGCTCTACGAATTTGGGATGTCTTTCTTTATGAGGTTGGTTACTTCAAACCATATACATCCTTTTCTGCAACAGAATTCTTCTTTAAAGAAGTTCACACTTGCTAGTAATGTTTCCTACGACAGGGTGTTAGGATTGTTTTTAAAGCTGGTTTGGCTCTTCTAAAATACTGCCACGATGACTTGGTGAGACATGAATTGCTTCACATGGATTCTGCAGCCATATGTCCATGGCTGCAAGGTGCCAATATTAACTTTTTGTTTCTCACACAGGTAAAGTTGCCTTTTGAAAACCTCATACATGCTTTGCGAAACTTCCCAGAGGATGCAATGGATCCAGATACTTTATTGCCCATGGCTTACTCAATTAAAGTACGTCTCTTTTCTATGTACCCCCTCCCCCAAGGCCCGAACTTAGCAACAATGAAAACTAACATTTGGTGGGAATTCATGATTGAATTTGATAAACACGCTATTATAGAATCTAAATCAAATGAAGGAAAACATGGATCGTAAGTCCATCAGGTTTGGCAGTTTCACACGAAGGAAGCCGATTCATCATGTTCATCTCTACATTGTGTTCTTTGATTCTGGAAATATCCTTTGTTTCTTGGAGATTTGGTGGGGTTTGAATTTTGTTATTGGTTTTTACTTAATGATTAGGTTTCCAAGCAGCTGGAGGAATCAAGACTTCTGTATGAGAAGCAGCTGCATGGAAAGGACATTTAGGACGCTGATATTAGTGGGAATCAGGAACGGCTGAGTTGAAGGTTCTCTTTTTTCCCCTATCTCATTGAAGCTAAGTGGTGTAGCCAATTGGAAACCATAGAAAAGTTATTCTTTTATGAGTCTTCTGTCGCATCTGAATTGTCTAGAATGTAAACTAAATGATGCATACACTCATCATTCTATCATTTTATTATTTGGTTTGAGTTTTGTACAAATGCTTTGTAAATCCCTAGTCACTGTACCTTTTTTATGAACAAAAAGTTCATAAAATTTTCACAACTTGTATCGAATGATCAATATATAAAATATGGATTATCCCATTTCTCAAAGCAAACCAACTTTGTTTTGCAATTTTATAACAGGAACCTTCAAATTGGTGGCTAAAACAAGAGCAAATTTACACAAATTAGAGAGAATTGAAGTACTACAGCAACACAAAATATAGCAGAAGAAGAAACAGATAAAGAGCAGTGAAGAAGGGCACAGATAAAAGAAGTGCCCCTTAACTAAAAGGAAACTCAGGTTTCATCCATGGCGATGAACATTTAGATCTAAAACCTTGCTTCTTCTTCCATCATTAGACGCTGTGGGTACTCCTGAAGGATCCCAGAGCTTTAACTGCTCCAGCTCTCAATATGAACTGGTGATAAAACGCGGCAATGAGAGCTCCAATGAAGGGTCCAACCCAGAAAATCCACTGTTTCAGATGAACACAAAAGGAACAAAAACATTCAGATTTGAAGTTCAGAAAATCAGGTGTTGTTAAGGGTTGTTAAGGAAGAGAATTACATGGTCATCCCAGGGCTTGCTGTGGTTGAACACCACCGCAGCGCCGAAGCTTCGAGCTGGGTTAATACCGGTGCCGGTGATCGGAATGGTGGCCAGGTGAACCATGAACACGGCGAACCCAATTGGGAGTGGTGCTAGTACCTTTGATTTCAATGGCAAACAAGATCATTAGGCTATGGAATTAGAAGCTTTTCTTGGAGATTTAAGTATTCAACTTACAGGAATGTGAGAATCTCTAGCGCTTCTCTTGGGATCCGTAGCAGAGAAGACAGTGTAGACAAGAACGAAGGTTCCGATAATCTCAGCGGCTAAGCCGGTGCCGGTGCTGTAACCTTCAGCTAGCGAATTGGCTCCACCGCCGTAGCGATTGTAGAGACCCTTCTGAAACGATTTGACCAACGCACATCCACAAATGGCTCCAACACACTGAGCCACCATATACAAAACGGCCCTCACCAACGACACTTTCCGTGCCAAAAACAACCCAAATGTCACCGCCGGATTGATATGCCCACCTGCAAAAACGGGATGAACACATATTTACTAAAACCCACCAAAACCCACAAGCTGATTTCGACAGAAATCTCATAAAACTCACCGGAAATCCCAGCGGTGCAGTAAACAAGAACGAAGATCATTCCACCAAAGGCCCAAGCGATGCCGAGAATGCCGACCCCGCCGCAGATATGGCCCCCCTGGTCGACGTCGGACTGGCTGCTGTAGCCAATGACAGTGAGAACAGTAACGTACAAGAACAGAAGCGTGGCGATGAACTCGGCAATGATGGCTCTGTAGAATGACCACTGAGTGAACTCCTCGACGTCGATCAACGGCGCCGGAGGTGGGTCGTGGTAGTCCTTGGCGGCGAATCCACCAGCTTCAGAATCCTTGGCCATGGTGCAGGGTGAAGAAATTGAAGAGAGAAAACAGAGGAAGAATTGCAGAGAGGGGAAGATGAGCGAAGGGGTAGTGGTGGAAAGAAGAAGTTTATAGGAGAACGAGAGAGCAGAGATTCCATTAACGAAGTGGAAATTTCTTGCCGCCCCATTTTGAAAAAGTTTCCATTTTCTGTCGCTTTCAGAGACCCCACAGTGTCCGTTGAGAGTGAAAGAGGATCCATTGATGCGCGCACTGTCATCTTCTCTTCTCTTCTGGTACCTTCTCGCCTCACATGGTTTTTCTTTTTTTCTTTTTTTTTTCTTTTTTTCTTTTTTTTTTTTTTAAATTATTCCTTTCTCAATTTTATGCGTAATTTATTTTAATTTTGTCCAAAAACTTCATTTTTGTAAAAATTAACCACAAACCCATTAAAAAATAGTTAAGATAGATGGATACAGATGGATTCTTCGTTTAAATAAGAAATTATAAGGAATCGAGATAAGATTTTCTCTTAGCTAAACAAGAGTCAGTCAGGGACGGTGATTATATACGTGTCTCCATCACACCCTATTCACTTTATCCAGAGACTCCCACAAAAATAAATAGAGAATTTCACGAGGGGAATTGGAATGTTTTCTATTCCTGGTTTGTGGATATGTTATAATTTCCTAATTGGTTGAATTCCACTCCAATCAGTACAAATTTTCCATTAATAAATTTGTTATTATAAAATATAAAATTAAATATTCTAAATTTATTGAAAATAAATAAATAAATAATCTAATTATTTTAGTAGCTTCACGATCCTTGATATTGTAATTAAACCAAAAATTTTATTATAAAAAAATAAACATTTAAGTAATATAATATTATATTAAATTAGCACAACGTGATGAGATTCTCTCTTTTGTGTACTTTATAAAATTAAAAAATTAGCTATTAACCATTTTCAATTATCTTTTATTGGGGAAGTTTGGTTCTTAATTTTAAATAATTTATATTTTGTTTTCTAATAACATTATAATAAGTCATAATAAGCATAGCCCGTGAAACTAGCCTAGAATCTAACTGACACGTGGACAAATTTCAGCCACTAGTTTTTTTTCCTCTTTTTTAATCACGCTGCACATGAATATTTATCACGGGAAAACTCACTCTTTTTTTTATTTTCTTTTTTAATTGTGTAATTCCTTTAATAAATTATTTTATTAAAAAAAAAATAACCATAAATATATCCATATTCACAAAAATAGAATATCCAGCCTTTATGATTGCAAGCCTACAAAATATATTGTTACTATCTTGAGAAGATTGAGTTCATGTGCCAAAGATACTCAAAAAAAATAAAAAAAATAAAAAATAAAAAAATAATAAACTCATATGCGAGTTTTCCCATTATTTTTTTTTTGTCACAGATGATACAAGAGCTAGACACGGAACAAGGAGTTAGCGAGAACAAAAAATTTCTTATAAAGATGTGGAAACCGTGAACTTGAGAGTCATCCAAACAGTGAGACTTTTATTCGTCATAATAAACATTTGCCTACATGTTTCGACTAGGTTGCATACTCCAATTGAATTAGGTATATAGTTCATATCGAACGCAATTGAAATAATAATATTTTTTTTATATTTAATTTGGAAAATGTTATGTCTTAATATTAAAATTTAACAAATGCCATGTTTTTTTTCATAGAAAAATTTGATGGGAGGAGAAATTGAAGGAGAAGATGTGGGACCCAGGACGGTGGAAATTATTGAGATTTGATTGGTCGGTTGCGTGACGCCGAAACCCACTGTGGGCCCACCGGTGGTAAATGGTTGGATACATTTGTCAACACTGTACCCCCTCCCTACCCCTCCCTTTAACCTAAACTCTTTATTTATTATTTAATTACTAAATTATTAAAAAATAATAATTCTAATTTTTTAGTTTGGTGTTTAATATGGTCCTCAACTACGATAAAATATTTTATTAAAAATGAATTTTAATTTTAATATGATTTACTTAATATATGTGTTTTAAAATTATAAGACTGATGATGATACGTAATTGGTCAAAATTGACAATACTGTTAATGGTGGACTTTGTATATATGGGTCAATTATGGTAAAAATATGTATGGAATTACTAAATATCTTTCAAAATAAAAATTTTCCATTTTTTTTTTTAAATCCCCAAATATTTATGTGTAGCTATTGGGAAAATGAAACTATTATTAAAAAAAAATATAATTATGACTTTTTTCAATATTTATGGTATGAAGATTTAATTTATTGCCAACAATTTATATTGTCTTCCAATACCAATAATTAGGGTTTTGATGATATTTTATTTCCAACTTATAGTCTTGCCAAACCCTAACCATAATTGAGTAATTTAATTATTAAACCTCCATGCTAAAATTCCATTAAAAAAAAGTTTAATTTAGATTAAATATATTTATCGTCTTAAATTTTAAATTTTAAAAATGTTTAATATTCAAGAATCCAACACAAAAATGCAACTAATTTATGAGCGTTTTTTATTATTTAGATGTGGATCGTAATAAAAAAAATATATTATTTAAATAAATCAATATTAAAATGAAATTTACCCGACATAAAAGTGCCTAAAAGTCAAAAGATAAATAATAATAGAATATTAAATTTTAAAGGACAGCTCTTAGACATGATAAATAATGAACATTCAATACATCAATTCATAGTTATGCTATAAAAAAAATCACTTTTCATTTTATTGAAAATTTTAAATAATGGGAATTCATGAATTTTGAATATTATTGTTATTCTAACACGTGGAAAATCAGTAGCCACAAATTTTTTATTTACTATATGTTATTATTATTTTGTAAAAAAGAGTGACAGCTATTTTCTTAAATATGACAATTTTTTTTTTTTTTTTTATCGAGGGGAAAGGAAAAATGAAAATTGGATTCCAAAATTCGGGTTTTTGTCTTTTAGGGAAAAGGGGGAAACATAACGAGTGGCGTAGAGGTACCAAATTTTGAATTAAATAAACATGTGGCGTAGAGTGATTGGTGGAAAGTAGAGGATGAGTGGGCCCCAGTTCGAGATGGACGGTGGTGGTTGATTTAATCATGAATGGTGATTGGTCGGTTCAATCATGCCTCACCGCCCTGTCGTTCACTCATGCGCACGTGACCGTAAACTTCAGCCGCAATTCATCACCTGCCGTTGCAACGGTAAAATGTAAAATTATTTGATTGTAAATTTCAAATATCATGATAAAGGTTAAATATTTTTACTCTCCCTAATAATCTTATAATAATCTTAAAAATAGGGAGAGTTAAAATCATATTTTCGTCAGAAATCGACCCGTTTTTATTTTGATTTTTTCAAAAATTCATCTCTAACTTATATTAAAAAAAATCTAAACTCATCTCAATATTTATAATTTAGGTTGGATAATTTGAATTGATCGGATTATTAGATAATATAATTACCCTTTCATACCAAAAAAAAAAAAAAAAAAGATTATTAATCTTTTTGTCAAATGATACAACAAATTGGATCAGAAAATCGACAAGTAAGCCAGTCGAGCTACCTACACTTGTCTGGTCCCCACGTTTTTTTTATGGGTTAAATAATACAAAACACTCTCAAAATTGCGTTATATTTCAAATACGTCCAATTCTTTTAATTTAAAGTGGTAAATTTTAAAATGCCGACCATTAAATTGACCGATGAAAATTGATATTTTTACAATATTAGATATTATCATAAATTTTACTAATACAATTTTTAAAATTCTAATAATTTCGTTTTAAAAGTAAAAATATAATGAAATTTTTGAAAATTTAAAAGAAATAGTTTTAAAATAAATATTATTTGGTTAAAAAAAAAAAAAAAAGAAATTAGGACATCCAACGGCCACCGCCCATCAAAAGACGAACACAAGATGCACCGACGCATCCCAATAATTTCATGGAAAGATATATATATTTTTTTAATTTTATTTTTTCTATGAGCAATAAATTAGCGACACGTGGATCATTCACAACCGTGAATAATCGATTAGCGGGTCTCATCCGGAGAAGAAGCTTCTGGAGGATTAAGGCCATGGAAGCGCGGCACGATCCTTCCTCCTCCTCCTCCTCCTCCTCCTCCTTTACTGCACCGCCGATTTCCGGTGAGTGTTTGGGCGGCATTTGCGGGTGTGCATTGGTGAAATGGTTCCAGAAGGGTGATTCCGATGAGTACGGCGGCGGGCCGATGGTTGCAGCGCCGGCACTCAATGTCATCTCCGCCATTGAGGGAGGGAGAGACGGTCGGTTTGTGAAGGAATCATCGTCGGAATTAAGGGGTTCGCCACCAAATAGGAGGAATTGAGTTCGAGTTTGGGAGGTGAGTTATTGACAAATATATTTATGTTGTTAATCTGATGATTACTTTCCTTAGCTAACCCTTAATTGTGAACTATTAGAGATTTGTCAGCTAATTTCTCGAACAATTTTTAGTGATTGAGCAGGAACTTTTAATTCTATAAGCATTTCTTAGTCATCTCAGTAGTTCCTATAAGCATTTCTTAGTCATCTTAGTTTCGAGGTCATTCTCATTTGAATATGCTCTTGGTTCACTTATATACACTTTCTCTTTATTCGGGTATCACATGTCCATCAGTTTCTGCCGTAGTTCATCCCTAAATCACATCTTATAAGAAGAGGTACCGCTCTAATACCATTTGTGACAACCCATGTCCCTATATTCGTCGCTTATAAGAGAATTCTATTCCCATAGACTAACACGGATCCATTCAACATGTTTTGTCCTCACTCGTATGCTCTTTAAGAGAATTCCAAGAGGTCACCCAACATAAGTCGGGAAGTTCTTACCATCGAGTCACAGAAAAGAAAGATACACAATAACTTTCAATTCTTTTAAGTCTTTTTTAGTTATAATATCTTCATAATTGCTCTCATTTGAATATGGTATCAGTTCAATCAGGCATGACGTAAACCAACCTCTGGTGAAGCTCGAAGGCAAGCCCAAAGACACAAAGCAACCTCATTGTGAAGCTTGTGGGCAAGCCCAAGACGCCAAAGGCCATAAAGTAAGGACGTAGCTTCTCTACTTAAAGAAAACTTATAGTTATAGCAAATTGTAGAGTCAGGCAAACACCATAGTAGCATCCTACATCCTCTGTTTTTCAACCCAAATCTGCTACCCTTTTAGCTAAATAACAAGTATGCAAATCAGCTAACTCATTACTCATTCAAACTTACCATATCTAAAAGTAGGTGAGGAGGCAGAAGAATTGATATGAACAATTTAATGTGTGGGATCCAACATGCCTCTACTTTAAATGCCTAGAAATGGGTAGCCACGCATTTATTAGCTTCAACTAAACTCTCTGAATTCTGCTTCCATGGCTACCTCTTTGTCTTTGTTGGTCGATCCACTCTGTTTCGAGTAAAGCGCTTACAGAGCTTGAAGAAGATGAACTTAGCGTACTGAGCTGGTCATTGACAATGGCATTAAATACCCAAACAGAGTACAGAGGAAATAAATTACAAACCATGACAGCTTTCTACCATCTCCTTTAAATATATCTCTGCTTCAATCTCTGCCCTCCATTGTTGCTCCTCTGTTTTCAAGCTCTAATTGCTCGATCATTTTCGTAGCAATGTCGGCCGCCAAGGACTACCAAGACCCGCCTCCGACCCCATTGATCGACGTTGAGGAGTTTACTCAGTGGTCATTTTACAGAGCCGTTATCGCTGAGTTCGTCGCCACGCTTCTGTTCTTGTACATTCTTGTTCTCACTGTGATTGGATCTTCCAAGTTGTCGGACACTGAAAGCCACTGTGGTGGGGTGGGCGTTTTGGGTGTTGCCTGGGCTGTCGGTGGCATGATCTTCGTCCTTGTTTACTGTACGGCTGGAATTTCTGGTGAGTTTATTGCTCTGTTTTTCTCTGTTTCTCTCTGTTTTTTGAAAAAGGATTACCCTGTTTTTGTTGAACTGTGTAGGAGGGCATATTAACCCGGCGGTCACGTTCGGGCTGTTATTGGCTCGAAAAATATCTCTAATCAGAGCTGTTCTTTACATTATGGCTCAATGTTTGGGGGCCATTTGTGGTTGTGGGTTAGCTAAATCGTTTCAGAAGGGTTATTACGTTCGGTACAAAGGTGGAGCCAATATGCTCTCCGATGAGTACAGCATCGGCACCGGCTTAGCCGCAGAGATCATCGGAACTTTTGTTCTTGTTTACACTGTCTTCTCCGCCACTGACCCCAAGAGAAACGCTAGAGATTCTCACGTCCCTGTAAGTTTATTGAATGCCCCAAATTGGGTTCAGCTTTGAGGCTCATTTTAGAATTAATCTTTGTTTAAACTCAAAATCGAAGGTTTTGGCGCCACTCCCAATTGGGTTCGCAGTGTTTATGGTTCATCTAGCCACCATTCCGATCACCGGCACCGGCATAAACCCAGCTAGAAGCTTAGGAGCTGCAGTGATCTATAACGAAGCTGAAGCCTGGGATCACCATGTAACTTTTTCCTCCATTTTCTTTTAAGCTTTTGGATCATTGTTTCACAGATCAAGAAATTAAAGCCTTTTTATTTTTCAACTTTTGAACAGTGGATCTTTTGGGTTGGGCCCTTCATTGGAGCTGCCATTGCTGCCATTTATCATCAAGTCATAATAAGAGCAGGGGCAGTCAAAGCACTGGGCTCGTTCAGAAGTTCCTCTGCCGTATAAATCTTATCCAGATCGCCATCATATGAGCTCTCTTCCCAATTGCTCTGTTTATTGTTCTTTTCCTCTGTTTTCCCTGCCATTTATGTAATTCTGACTTCGCTTTCGTTTTCGTGCTAAATTAATCAAGTGGGTCAAGTTTATGCTTAATGATCATTATGCCATTCGAATTTACATACGTCTTTTCACACATAGCTTAAGACATTCATACTCGATCAAGATGCCAGAAAAAACAGGGCAAAAACAGAGCAAAAAAGAAAGAGTTTCATAGCTATGGCTGTTTAGCTTCATTTATTTCTTCAAGTTCTTCGTCTTCTTTAATGGTGTCCAAGCGAGGAGAGTGAGGAGGCTTGATGGGAAAAGCAAAGAAAGGCGGTGCCTTTTCAACCCATTTTTGCAGAGCTCTAAGCTTGGTTGCCATGAAGCCTGGTGATGACTGATTTGCAGGGCGAAGTTGCAGAGATGGAGGAGGAAGATGAGTGATTTGGAGTTGAGATGGGAAATGATTAATGGGTTCGGTTTTTATAAGGCTGATACCGACACCGAGTGAGTGATCCTACGAAGAAAGCACCAAAAAGAGTCATTATTTATGTGGTTAATTGAATTAGAGCATGTGAAGCATACCCATGATTCTGTTCCTTTTTCGTCTTCTAATGACCTTAATTTCCATTAAAACATTGTATCATGGATGTGTGTAGTATATAGTATTTGGAGTGGTTGAGTATAGTTCTTTATGTGGAATCAACATGTCCCGTCTTAAGTATAAATATTGACTTAACAAAAAAAATCAATTTTTATCGACTTAACCTTTAATTTGAAAAGGTGCTACACTTGAAATTTTACTATCGGATAAATTTTCATATTAAATGGATGATAAATAGAAAGTAGGGAGAGATTTCAGATTATATTCTCTCCCACCTTGATATGAATGCAGCAAAATTTACTACCGAATCTAATTCCTACCAGAAATTCACTTTGATCCCACAAAAATAAATGAAAAATTTTGTAAGAAAAGAAAATAGTGGAAATTAAAATTAGCAAATTTAAAAACGGGCTTGGTGGCTTGGGCTTGGGCGGTTGTGGCTTGGGCTATTACAAATTATATTAGAGCCAGACACTAGGCCCCTGCCCTTGAAGGGCTGGATTGTGAAATCCTGCATCGTTGGAGACGAGAACGATTGGAGATTGTGAGATCCCACATAGTTGGAGACAAGAAGAATTGGGGATTGTGAGATCCCACATAGTTGGAGAAAAGAAGAATGGGGGATTGTGAGATCCCACATAGTTGGAGACGAGAGCGAAGCATTTTTTTATAAAGTGCGAAAACCTTTCCCAATAAAGGCGTCATAAAACCTTGAGGGAAAGTCTTAGAAAAGGAAACAAACAAAAACAATATTTGTTAGTTGTGGACTACTTGTAAGTTGTAGACTTAGAACAAGATCCATTTTGTATCATATCTAATGGATTCTTGGGTTCAGGTCGAAGAAGAAATGCCACTCGATCATTATCAAATCGACTACAATCTTTTTTTGTCCATGAGGATTCCAATCCCAACCGAGCGCCTTCTACTTCTAATAGGCCGAGAAGTTGAAAGATGAGTAGGGTGGATTTAAATTCAATCTCTAATGTCAAAAAATGCTTTAATCCCAATCTTTGTTGTCGTTGAATAAAATGGATGCAAATGAAAATGAAAAGAAATCTATAATTTGTAGATTAAGATAGTGATCGTCTCCATTACATAAACAATGGAGGTGGTTTTGAGGAACAAATTAGCTCCCAACATCTGTCCGACCCTTCAAACAAAACAACCAATTCTCCGACAAGAAACATTGTTACAAACCGGAATCATTGGCATCCACAAAACGAAGAAGATTCAAGTTTGTTCTTTGAAGCCATTGATGTGGGGTGAGGATGATCTTCGACGATGACGATGATGACGACGACAACCTGGTTGGTTGGTTGGTTTCATTCATGAATCTTCATCATAGTCCTCGGGAGTTTGTTCTGTGATGGGGTCCAATGATGGAACGGTGGAAGGTTTGTTTGGAGAAATGATGGGAGATGGAGAAACCTCCATCCAATGCCTCAAGTTTCTCAGTTGCTTCCCCATTTTGATTGTGAATGTTTGCTGAATCCACCACACCTAAATGGTGTGAAAGTTATCTTATTTATAATCAAATAAATTACAAGAATATGGAAATAGTAATAAATGGAAATAACAATAAATGGAAAGATACCTATAGTAATAAGGCAAATGTTAGATATTTGCCTTATAATAAAATATCAAATATAATATATATGGTAAACTATAATTTATTACTAAATATCCTTAACATTGATGAACAATGATCAAATTTATTTGCCAGTTTTGGTTTTTTGATCGATTTTATGAGAATTTGGTTTAGTTTTTTTGTTTTTGTGTATTGGAAAGAGAGATAAAGAGGTTTATATAGTGATACCCATAAATGAAAGGGAAAGAGAAGTGGAAGAACGATTGGATGGGAGTGAAAGTCTCAAATCTTTCAAATTGGAACAACAACCTTAAATTGGGTTTTACTATTTTTTAGGTTTTGGATGCTCTTTTTGGACCTCCATCATAAAATCAATTTAAACCAATCATCTGACGATTAACTTAGTTTAGTGTAGAGACGAGTAGGTTGTGTGGCAGACCTAGCTAAGATCGGACAAAGCCACAAAGCCATACGAAAAATATATATGGGACTTTGAGTTTTCTTTAAGGCGGGTTGTGAGTGTGTCAAGATCACGCTGCGCGATTGAAAAAGTACGACCGTGACACTCAGCATGCCCCTCGAGATGGTACCTCTAATTTGGATTCACCGTTCTTGGGTCAAATCCCAATTTTTTTATTTTGAATTGAATATCTTTTTGGACCCTCATGGGCTCCGATACCCAAGGTTTCATCTTACCACCAATCGACAAAGAAAAAGTAACCCGATATATCTTTTAAAGATTGGATTGTGAGGTTTTTTCATATTTCAATACGAAATACTTGACATTAACTAGATATCCCATCAAATTCTCGGAGTATTTTGTGAGATAACTTTAAATTGAGTACGAGCCAGCATCAAATAACTCCAAAAACAAAGCTAAAATGGGATGAAAACTAGAAAACTTGAAGAACAGGAGAAGAACAATTAGAAAAGGGGTATGGAAGAACTCAACCAATATATATTATGGGATATGGAAAGTGGATGCTTTGCTCACTTGTATTGATCAAAGTGTTATCAATTAGTGGAGGTTCTTACTCGGAGAGCACCAAAATGAATGCACATTTCGGCCTATTAACTCCTTTTGGCTTATTACGAACACTAATGATATCGTAAACAAATTACACTTCAAACAAATTTTTTGAAAAGAATCGAAAGTCACTATCTATACTAACAAAATACAATATTAGACGATCTCTATGAGACGTTTGAGTTTTTCTTAGCTAATGGTATCATCCGATCAATATAGGTATCAATTTCAAATTGAATTCAGCCAAAAAGTAAGACTTTGGAAATGGAGGCTTGTTCTTAATTAAGAAAGCATGTGAAAAACACAGAAGATGTTGTAATGAATGAAATGACCTTCCAACCAATGGGCACCACCACCACGTCCTCATGTTTTGATCTTTATTTATTGTATTGGAGGAAGAAAAATACCATCTTTTTTGTGTGGGAAGTGACATATTTGCTTTAGTTTGACCTAATTTGGGGGTTTGTTGGGTTGAATTCCGAGCTTTTGAGTTGGTTGAGTTGGCTGCGTGAATCGAATAGTATATAATCTAACCATCTATTTTCAAGTTAGGTTGGAGGTCGACAAGTTGTTCAAATTTTCTTTTTTCAAAAAAATTTATACTTATCTACCATACTTATTATATTAATAACTAAAATCTCATAAAACTCAAATATGAAACGTTCATAAATTTGAATGGTCAAATTATTGAGTCATTTGAATGCTTGTAAACGAAGGCAGAGAAATAAATTCTCATAAAACGCAAAACTAACGCGTTCATGATTTTAAATATAAAACAATTTTAATCATTCTTAGAGAAAATGATGGGAATCATAATAATCTCTTTCTCGATTCAAATAAATCAAAAGATGGTTTTGAAAAGTATTTATTCAATGGAACATGCACTACAAGAAATAACGAAAAATATTATGTAAATCATTAATAGTATTTTCCTTGAGTTTTGACGGTCGATATTATTAAAAGTCCGAAACTTTTTAGTTTTTTTTTATAATTATAATAGAATATGACGTCCATTTTATAACGTCTTTTTATTAAATTTATAATATATTAATAAACTTTGTGGGTTCATGTCAATTTTTTAAGGTCAACAAAAACAATTGAAATGAAATTCTCAATAAACAATATTGGTATGAACACAAATGGACACAAATATGAACACGAACACGAAAACAATAACAAAGAATTTTAGAATAAAGATTAAAGATTTAGATTAGTAGGGACGCATAAGTATCATATTTGAGCTTTTATTACAAGTAAATATTTTGGGTATATTTTCATTTCACTTATTTACGTGTTAAAAGCTTAAAGCTAAGAAAAAAAAAGATAATTGTGCACTAAAACTTCACCCCAACAAAAAAGGAAGGTCTAGGATGTCTTGAAGTGGCTCCTAGATCTTCACGAACATGTTCTTGATCTTCTGAAATGGTGTCCAAACGAGGAGAAGAAGAAGCCTTCGACGGATAAACAATCAAGTGCGGAGCTTTCTCGATCCAACTCCGAAAAGCTTTGACTTTCTTAGTTGTCGGCATCGTCATCGAACAAATCGACCAAAGCTCAGAAGGAGGAGAGAGAAAGAAAAAGAAGAGCTGAAAAGAGAGGGTTGTGTGATGGTGAAGAAGATGAAGGGAAGGCATCAAATATTTATAGACACAAAATTGGTTGTTGTTTTTGAATATTATGGTCTTAGTTTAATAATAATGTCAGCACGTTGAAATTTCTCACAAATCCGTTGACTATTCCCACGACCACCACTCCTACGTCTTTCCCACGCTATGCAACAAAAGGGGAGAGAGAGAGAGAGAGAGAGAGAGTTAAAAGACATGTATTTTGACTTTTATTTTACATTTTAAATACTCGAACGTACATATGTCTAGAAGCACGAGCGGGTCGAATAGGGAAGTTTTCTCAGTTCCGACCTCCTATTTCGTTCACCATTTATTTTTATGAGGATTGGAGTAACAATTCTGAGCCGGAATTCCCAACGTTAATTTTTTTTTCTATATAGATGATTTCTATTTTTCAATATAATTTTTATTAAAAAATGTAAAATACCGTAATAAAACTTAAAAATAATTTATGAACAAAAATATAATATAATATTCAACGTAATTTTTAAAAATTCAAAATTTGATATTAAAACATATTTTTATTTTAGTAAATAAATATATGTTATATTATATATAACAGGTTAGTTTTGTACCTTACGGTTGGACCAAATACAGCCTTATCACGACCCTATTTAGCCAACAGGAAGAAATCTCTCTCCTATCTCTCCTCCTTTCTATGTTTAACTAAGACTCTCCACCCCGTCTGGAGCCCGTTCTTATAAGGTTAGTAGAAATCTCTAGTTAGAAGATTTGGAACTTTAACGGAGAGATCCTATTTTATGTCCGATAAAGTTAGTAACCACCAAATAGTAAACTTTGACTTAGATGGCTATTACTTGTTTTTGGTCAACTTTCACCAATCATATTATATTGGTTATTTATAGTTATTTATTGTTCTTTTTTTTTTCTTTTCTTTTTCAATAGGTTGGAAATAAATGGTATGTTCCATTGAAAATGGTGTTTCTACCGCATTATATTTTTATTAATCTCTTTTGACTTTATATGATTCATTAATTTTGACTTTTGACCCAACATTGAAATAATTGTATTAAAAAATTTTTTTTGATGAATCTATGAATATATTTAATTCTAAAATGTCATACTTTGATATACCTTTTCAAACATCTTCTTATATTTTTCTTCATTTATGTCAAAATAATAAATTATCTCATAAATATTTAAAATATAAAATTTTCAAGTTCACCAAACTACGAAAGAATTGTCTTAGTTGAATTCCCAAAAATTAATTTATTCAAATTAAGCGAACCCGTCAAAACTAATTAGTTTGGAAGTTTCTAGGACAAGTGTTATTACGATGATGATCAAAAATGTTATCTTTACGGCTGACTATGATCTCTCAGAAGTTGAGCTTCTTGGATTACAAAATACTTTTTACCGCCACGCTTGGTTATAGAATATGGAGATTCCCCCAGGTCGAATTCAACACCTACCTTTTCTGTCGAACCCTCTAACACAGAGGACCATGCGGTTATTGGTGCTGACGGTGCTATCTTAATTGATGAATTGGGTATATCTTCCTATTTTTGCAAATCTTCTTTCTCTACATATAAAGAGAAAGGATTCTCGGTCTCAACTATGATATGATAACGACCACGAAAGCTTTTTCATCTCTGTCTTCACCATCTCTTCACGAGCTATACAAAGGTGTGTCGTGAGTCCAGAAAAATGTTGACCATGTGAAGAATGTCTCGAGAGATTAAGCAAAAACATAGAAATTATTTTAACGTTTTACGAACCATTTGATTTCCATTTCTCATTAAAAAAAAAATGGTGAAAGAAACAGAGAGGATCAAAGGAGGGAAGATTCATGGAGTATATTGAAATCTTTTGAACTATATTGCTTATTCTTATTGTTGTACCTCCAAATACACTTCAATAAGAAACAACAGCGAAAGGATTAAACAGAAACAAGAATGAAGCTCGCCGGACAAAGAAAACCCATTAATGAGGCTCAAATTTTACACTGAACAGTCCTTTCACTTCTGCAAATTAGAATTCTAAGAAGGGATGGAAGAGAGTTAGTGGGAGGGATGGTTAGGAGGGTTCTGCCATTGCAATCCTCTGTTTCTTCCTCCTCTGTAATGGTCTCCAAAGCAGGGGAGAGAGATGCTCTGTTTGGAAGAACAAACAGAGTTGGTGACTTTTCCAAAATTTGAAGCTTTTGTGCCATTGTTTCAGTTGATCAGCCGAAGGGAGGTTTGTTCTGAGAGTAAGTGAAGAGTTGGATGAAGATGAGGAGGATGAGGGGAGTGGGGTTGTTCCTTATAAAAGGATTCAAACCGTGTTGGTCAACGAACCAAGCCACGTAGAAAGTGAATGAATACTTACGCCATCGCTTTCGTTGCATGTGAAAACGATTAAGTTTATTTCCACATACACACGTGAAAAAGCATAACAAAAAAAGGGACCTTTTTCCAATCATCTTTGGACTTCTTTTGTTCTTCTATCATGCTTCCTTCTTTTTCCAACAGAGATGCAAAAGGATTCAAACGAGAAAAATAACTAACGAAAGAAAAGTAGCTTCAACTTACAAACTCGCTCATGTTCTAAGCCATTAGAGTTTATAGGAAATGAAGAGAAACTAGAAGACTGGAAGGTTTTCTATTTTATTTGAATCTTCATCCTGTGATTGTAACACCTAATTCAAATAAGGATTTGATAGCTTCAATCTTCTATGATATAGTCATAGTACTTAATCATTCAACATAGAATTCGAGCAAAACACACTTAATTTTAAAACATACTGATCTTTTGAACTATTTCATGATCATTCTCGCTTCCAAGTTTTCGATCAGATTTCAAAAGGCTTCAATTAGTATCAAGAAGAAAGAAATACTAAGTTGGTTAACAGAGTTGATGAAAGAAGTGTTCCAACTAGTTGATTGTCCATACTTGCAACAAAAAATTGAAAGTGTTCTCCAAAAGCTGAAAGCACCATACAGATATAACGCAGAATCTTGAAATTCAGATATGGACAAGTATCCTACAGATATTTGAACAACTACATATTAAGGAAAACACTAAAAGAACTAATGGCAGCGAACAGACATATCACTGATAACCATTGATATTCACCTAATACAATTGAGATAACCATTGATATATATATATAACTTAATTGACCAGAATGCTAGTTCCTAAAGAACAAGATGTTTTTCGGAAAATGGTTCTCAGCAAATCGATACAAATCAACGGATCCTGTTTAGCAGAAAGACGGACATTCCATGCTCATTATCAGACAATCACTTATTCACAAACCTCGTATAGGACTAATAGTTTGAATTTCCCATCTCATGGAAAACCCTTTTCGCTCCGCTTAGCCCTATCCCCCCATAGGGGTATTTTAGTGATAGGTTCTATAGGAACTGGACGATCCTATTTGGTCAAATACCTAGCGACAAACTCCTATCTTCCTTTCATTATAGTATTTCTGAACAAGTTCCCAAGTAACAACCCTAAGGGTTTTCTTATCGATGATAGTGACGATATGGATGATAGTGACGATATCGGCGAATACCAAATTATGAAATGTGTTCCCCTGGGAGTGGCTAAACATTCAAGACCAAAGGGCAACCAAACAACACAAAAACAATGAACACCGTCTAAAGGACAATTGTGAAAAGAACTAATCTCACCCAAACATATATAAACAGTAAATCAGTGTTTCACATATTCATCATAGCAAGCAGCCCCAGTTTCAATACAAGGACTGATTAATTAGAAGTTCACCAACTCTTCAATAGCGCAAAAAGTAAGCCAAAAAAGTGAGTTTTTTGTAATAAGCTAAATAGTAAATAAACAAGCACTTCAACAAATTTACCTCCTTCAAGAAAAGAGCTACCGAACGAACCTGCAATGAGAATATGAGAATATGACCAAAGAAAGGAATGATTGCGAAACATACATGCCTCACACGTACAAATCAGACGACTACGCAGCTGTTGCGAGTCTACAGATCCTTCCCATAAAATTATATTTTAGTAAAACAAATAAACTTTCTACATTTTGCCCCATCAGACGACTAAGCAGCTGTTGCAAGTCTACAGATCCTTCCTATAAAATTATCTTTTAGTAAAACAAATAAACTTCCGACATTTTACCCGATTTAGGAGAGCCTATACAGCAATGGACGCGCTCACTAGCACAATTCAACACGACTTTATAAACATCTATAAAAATAATCAAATGGGGTGCGATAATCCAGGACCAAACTTAGGAAGATATAGCTAAACGAATCAAAAAGAATAAGGGCTCACGGATGTTACTGTCTACAGTCGGCCACGTATTTAAGAACAAACAGATCACTGGACACAATATACCTGGAATCTATTGTTTCTAAGAAAGAAAAATTATGCTCAGAAGCATAACAAATAATCCATATAACGCTCAATTATAACGAGAACACTTATAAAAGATCAATGAACAACCATATAATGAAAAAATGGCAACTCTACCAGACTGAAAATTAATGCCCTGCGCTTATAGATTAAAGAAGTAAAAAAAAGGCTATTCTCAAAAAGTACAACCGGAAATGCAACGATTTGAATAAAAAACAGTCTAAACTTCAGTTCAAAACGGAACCACAATGCTTCCATCCCCGAAACGAAGCAATATTTCCCACATTAAATAAATCATTGTATCCGGAGATATAGTCATTTGAAGACAATAAAAAGAAACACGTTTCAAATCCCAAAACTGAAACTACAAAGTAAGTTCCAATATGAAAAGTTACTCTCAATTCTGGGGAATTTCAACATCCCCATCAGTAATTTCCTGCTGTAAGTCCTTCGGGTCTTTACCATCGACCGTACAGCCAACAGAAACGCAAGTACCGAGGATCTCCTTGACGGTTCCACTGAGATCTTTAGCCATAGACCTGGGACTCATAACCCTAGCGATCTCAATCACATCATCAAGCGAGATGTTACCATTGTGCTTGATGTTCTTAGTCTTCTTGCGGTCCCGCTCAGGCTCCTTGAGAGCCTTGATGACCAAAGCAGCAGCAGAGGGAACAACCGAGACCTTGGCTTGACGGTTCTGGACAGTAAGCTTAACAGTAACCCTAAGACCCTTCCATTCCTTAGCCGTCTCCTTAGCAATGTCCTCTCCGATCTTCTTTGGTGAGAGACCTAGAGGACCGATTTTAGGAGCGAGAGAACTGGCCGCTCCGACCTCACCTCCGGTGACTCGGACAAAAACATCGACAACCTGAGAAGGATCGAACTTGGGAGGCATAATTGAATAAGGGAAAGAGGCAGATTGGATGCCTGAGTTCAGAGAGGGGGCGGGCGGAGGCGAAGATACAAGATCGAAGGCAGAGTAAGGGTTTCAAAGAGCCTATAAAATCTAGGGTTTTACAGATTGCGTTGGAGTTGTGAAATTACACATTTCTCCTCCCTTCTCCCGGACTTTTTCTTGCCTTTTGGGCTTTTGGGCTTCTGGGCTTCTTGGCCCATTGGTCCTTTTTCTCCCGACTTTCACATTCTATTCTGAAGTATTTAAATATTTTAGGGGAAAAATAAACAATTTCTTATGTTGACTTTTACTTCAAATTTTTTAATTTTCGTTAAAAAAAAATAGTTTTTAAAAATGTTTTCATAGGCATTTAATAAATTATAAAGCTTAGATATGATATAAATTTATAGGATTTAAAGAAAAAAACATTACAGTAAATATTTTTATTAAAACCTGCTAGCTTTAACAAAATTATTTAGTAAATATTTTTTTTTAACAGATGGTAACAATTGCCATATTTAAATTAGGGATCAGTTAGGAAAAAATTGAATTTCTTTTATAAAAACGGGTATAATTTTCATGCTATAAAGACATTCAATTTTATTTAGCTTATTAAGATATTGTTGATGTCCATATTGTCAATGCCGGCCTATCTTGGACGGTTTGGTCGATGTTGTACCTTCACTCTAGTTTTGGTCGATGTTGTAACATTAAGCGTCGTTTTCCCAAGGAGATTGCACCTTTTTTGGCCTCTTTTTGCAATATTTGTATAACAGTCCAATCCCACCACTAGTAAATGTCCCAATGAGGTTCGGTTTTGTGTTTCCCCTCAATGGTTTAAAACGTGTCTATTAGAGAGATATTTTATCATCCTTACAACCAATGTTTGGTTTCCCTCTCTAAATGACGTGGCTTCGCACATTTTAACAAAAACTCAAAATTCATTTCATCCAAAAACATAACATTATGATGTTGGACATCTAGGGGTGGTGGCGCAGTTGGCTAGCGCATAGGTCTCATAGCTTCGAGTTATCATGAGGTCGAGAGTTTGCGCCTCTCTCACCCCGGTTATTCTTTTTCCGCTGTTTGTTCATTAAATTTAAAATGTAAGGTCTCCTTTTGGGCCTTTAATGGGCTTTGTTGGACATGAGGAATAAGGCCCGTCACTTTTTCTGTTATTATTTCTTCCAAAAATATAACATTTTGCTGTTGGACATCCAGGGGTGGTGGCGCAGTTGGCTAGCGCGTAGGTCTCACAGTTTTGAGTGTTGAGTTATCCTGAGGTCGAGAGTTCGAGCCTCTCTCACCCCAGTTATTCTTTTTCCGTTGTTTGTTCATTAAATTTAAAATGTAAGGACTCCTTTTAATTAAAGGCTTTGCATGACAAGGTCTATCAAAAGCTTTTTATTCATTTCTCCCAAAAATATAACATTGGACATCTAGGGTGGTGCCGCATTTGGCTAGTGTATAGGAAAATCTCATTGCTTTGATTTATCCTGAGGTCGAGAGTTCGAACCTTTCTCACCTCAATTTTTCTTTTTTTTTTGTTTGTTCATTAAATTAAAATGTGAGGTCTCCTTTTGGACCTTTAATGGGCTTTGATCGATATGGGTAATAAGGCCCATCGAAAGCCTTTTGTCACTTCTTCTATTATTTTTTATTTCTTCCAAAAATATAACATTTTGCTATTGGATGTCCAGGGGTCGTGGCGCAGTTGGGTAGTGTAGGTCTCATTGTTTTGAGTTATCTTGAGGTTGAGAGTTCAAGCCTCTCTCGTCTCCTTTTGGGTCTTTAATGGGCTTTGCTCGACCTAAGGAATAAAGCCCATCAAAAGCCTTTTGTCACTTTTTCTATTATTATTCATTTCTCTCACAAATATAACATTTTGGTGTTGGACATCAAGGGGTGGTGGCGCAGTTGGTTAGCGCATAGGTCTCATAGCTTTGAGTTATCTTGAGGTCGAGAGTTCGAGCTTCTCTCATAGCTTTTGTCACTTTTTCTATTATTTTTTATTTCTTTAAAAAAAATATAACATTTTGGTGTTGGACATCGAGCACCCGTGGCAAAAGTTCTCAAAATTCTCAAAAGTTCATGTGTGGAAACTTATAATTGTATGAATTAAATTTGTATAAATGAATCAATTTAGACATATTATCAAATTTTATATATTCATATTTTCGATAAAGATCTTTTTTTTCTTTGAGTACAGGAAAAAAAATAACATTGATTCATATCGTTTTGGTTGTGTTACATGATTTCATATCAAATAGTAAGAGGGTAAGGTACCATAAAGAACATAGGTTTGAATTTCTCAATTCCTTATTGGAGTTGGAGTTGTAAAAGAAAGAAATTTAACCTGATAGTATTAGTTTAGGGTACGGGTCGAGCTATCCAGTTCCGTCGTATCGGTCCTGAGTTCATGTAGGAATCTTGTGAGGGTTTGCACAAATGCTTCATCGTTGTTGCAATTTTGTTGAGAATCTGAAGTTGGCTGAGTCACGGTGGTTGACAAATTATTATCTGAGTTCTGTAACAATTCAAAAAAACACTTTTTAAAAAATTTAACGAAGAATTCAAAATTTTCCTTAAGAAAAGTGATACTAAAGTGGTGAAGAAACTAAAACAAAATCATTATCAGAGAAAACCTAAATAAATTTAGGTCGAAGAAAGCTCTTACAGAGAACATTCGTCGTCGTTTTGACAGTCTCATTGCCTTCTTCTTGTCGTCCATCATCTCAACCAATTGGTCGAACTGAATCAAATAGATACACGAACGTAAAGATTATTGAAGGCTTTATACGAAAACAAGAACAAGTGAGGATGGTTTTATTTGTTGGTACCTGTTTCACAATTATTTGGTATTTCCTTGCACATTCATACAGTCTTCTTTCATCATCAACACTCGACATTTTCAAACTTCTCTAAATCTCAGTCTCTCTGTCTCTAAAACTTTGACAAATTTAAGGTAATTTTATAGGTATAGATGCAAGGGTGGCAAGAAAATTGTATGATGTTAATCTCGAGATAGAGAAATGAAGAACTAACCGTTACTCACCGACCTTTAGCAGAAACATGGAGAAAAGAACAATATCACTCGTTTTTTCTGATCCAAATTCTTCTTTCTCACGCAAAGGTGAGTTCGTAGAGGATAGATATTTCGTGAAGAAAGTCGTACCAATTCAAAAGAAATCATTCGATGAAACTTTCACGTGAATGTTTCTTAATAACTGTTAGATGTAAATTTGGAAACCTGAAATTCGAAGAACGTTCGTTGCTTTTCTCTTATACTTTGACGGTCAACAAAATTAAATAATGGCTCCACCAACCTCTTCAAAACCCTAATTTATTAGAGAGATATAGAGATTGGTAATTACTAACTACTTGCCATATTACGTAACTTTTACTTTATGGGAAAATGAAACGATGAATGGTCGTCTGTAACTGAAAGTGTAATTTGATTTTGATTGGTTTGTTCGATGTTTTTGTTATTTTCTTCAATTTAAATGATTGGTTTTTATTTGCTGCTAAAGTCGATTGGTAAACTCGAACCGAGCTATGTGTTGGTGTCGTTTTTATTTAAAGAGCAATTATTCTTAGTCAATGGCCGATCCATAGTTTTTGTTCATGGAGGTTTATTGAATAACCCGTGCCCAAAATTCGGAATTGGCATTCCCTATGCCCCTCATTTCATGGAGTTTTTGTTCATGGATGTAGTCTCGGTTCGTTCATATGCCCCTCATTTACTCGGGTGTCACGTTCAATTAAATTTCACTAAAGTTTGGGATCTTCATCATGTACCTCTTGAGTTAATCCTCATCCACTTGATAGTTTACCATTATTAGGTTTAGAGCGAGTGAAACTCATCACTACCTTATAAGGGCGTCGAGACCACAGCATGTTAAATGAAATGCCACCGTTCTTAACCGAGACTATGTTAAGCTCGGTCTCAAAACCTTGCGAGTTCATGAGTGAAGCATCTCGAGGTTGACATTGGAACACTTTTTAAAGTTTTCAAGAACCTTGTGGGTCTACTGCAATACAATTCATATATAATGTTTTTTTTGGTTCTTGAGGTAGAGAATTCGAGTTTTCAAGAACACTTTTCGAAGCGACGCCTTTCTCTCTCTCTCTCTCTCTCTCGTTGTATTCTTCAGCTAAATGAGGATTTTTCGCTTCTTTAGGGGTGAGTCTTTGCCAGCAAGGAAAAATGAACCGAACAAAAAGGAAGAAGAAAGAAGTAGATTTTGTAAATATCCCCATCCGTAGGTCCAAGCACACTACTTTTCTACACTCTCGCGCCTCTTTAATGAAAAATTGGCTCTACTGGCCCAAAAGGCAACTTCGAATCAAGTCATAAAAGAGCTTGACGGCAAGAACCATCCGTCGAGCAGAGATGAAAAGACCTGAAGATTCGAATCAAATCCCCTAATATATGAAAGAATGAAAAAATACTTTTAATAAAGTAGCACGATCGATAAGGAGGGAGTCGATCTTTCTTTTCTTATCCAGGGTGTTTCATCTGTGGCTAAAAGAAAGAACCAACAAAGAATCAAATGGAGATGTTTAAAAATAAAATCCTATTGTTACTTTGTTTGTTGGACAATTACAGATATATAATCATGTATAATAAACAAACAAGCAATCGATATCAATCAAAAGCATCAATTAAATCAATACTAAAGAAGAGAGAATACTTGGATTAAGATGATTGCACTACGGTCCTAAGCACCAGTCTTACAATCAAACTCGAACCGATTCTTAAATCAGTAACACTAACTTTGGTCATTCACCATGTAATATAGCGAAAATTCGACATAGTTTGATTGTTACAAAAGTTCATGGAATAGTACAAAGGAAAATTCTCAAAAGTATCTAAGAATCTAAATATAAAACATGAGATTTATTTGCCCAAGAGAAAGCGAGAAATTTATATGGATCATGCTAGCATCAAAACGTTGCCCTTGTAAATTATATATAAACAAAAAAAATAACTAGTAAGCTAGGCAAGGTAGTGTCATGACGTTGTTATGAAAGGGGGAGCATGCACGTGTTTAGAGCGTTTAGACGCTGAGAGTGTTGAGCAAGAGAGTCGAGGAAAATACTACAGCGTCGAGAC